CTATATGAGTGGTTTCTAGTGAAGCGTGGCAGGGTGTGCCTGTGTCAGGCCCCATGCTCATTGAGAAGGCCAAGGACTTCCATGAGCAGATGCGGCTGACCGAGCCCTGCGTGTTCTCCGGAGGCTGGCTGTGGTGCTTCAAGGCCAGGCATGGCATTAAAAAACTGGACGTGACCAGTGATAGGCAGGGGGCCAACCACCAGGCGGCCAAGCAGTTCTGTGGGTTTTTCAGGAGCTTAGCAGCGGAGCAAGGGCTGTCCCCTGAACAGGTTTACAATGCAGATGAGACTGGCCTTTTCTGGCGGTGCTTGCCAAACCCCAGCGCGGAGGGTGGGGCTGGGTTGGGCAGCCTCAAGCCCAGCAGAGACCGGCTGACCATCCTGATGTGTGCCAACGCCATGGGCTCCCACAGGCTCAAGCCCCTGGCCATGAGGAAGTGCGGTGGCCCCAGGGCAGTCAGAAGCATCCAGCCCCTGCCCTCAACCTACCAGCCCCAGGGCAGTGCCTGGGTGGACAAGGAGACTTATGCGGACTGGTTCCACCAGGTCTTTGTGCCTTCGGTGAGGGAGCACTTCAGAGTCATTGGCTTGCCCGAGGACAGCAAGGCCATCGTCCTGCTAGGTGGCCCTCAGGCCCACCCGCGAGAGGCAGAGCAGGTTTCCGACAACATCTTCACCATCTTTCTGCCAGCCAGTGTCACCTCACTAATCCAGCCCATGGAGCAGGGCATCCGGAAGGACTTCATGAGGAACCTTGCCAATGCTCCCGCCACCCCACGGGGTGTCCACACCCAGCCTAGCGTGAACGACGCCATACTCAGCGTGGCCTGTGCCTGGAACTCTGTGCCCAGCCAAGTGTTCCAACAGGCCTGGAGGAAGCTATGGCCCGCTGTCCCCTTCGCTGAGGGCTCTTCGGAGGAGGAGGAGGCGTTGGCAGCAGAACACCTCCACACTAAGCCTCACAACAAGGCTTTTGCCCATATCCTTGAGCTGGTGAAGGAGGGTGCCCCCTGTCCAGGCAGCAGGCTTCACAGCAGTGAGGCCAGAGAGTGGGGTGCAGTGGGAAGGGGGCTGGAGGAGGAGCATCCCCCAGCAGCTGTGTCGTTGCCCAAGGCTGACTGGAGCACACACAAGGCAAAGAAAGCTGGCCAGGCCGGCGGAAGTGGAGAAGACCCCGGGCAGGGCGACGAGGCGACCTGGGAGCAGGCGGCCGCAGCCTTTGACACTGTTCTCTGTTTTGCTGCGCGGCAGCCCTGCTTCACCGTGCAGTGCACTCGCCATTCCGGAGGCAGCGGCAGGCAAGGCGGTGGTGTGTGGCACTGAGGGCTGTGGTCAAAATCGAAGGCCTCCAGGAGGCCCCTGGCGCCCACGCGGCCTCTGTCCGCTCTCCTGTGCCCTGCTCGTCCACAGCAGATGGTAACTGACAGCGCGCCCGTGAGCTTTTGGTCTCGGTCACTCAGATCAGGCATCCCCTTGTTCTGGTTGGTCAAGGTTTTACCTGATCACTGTGATGTCATTCGAATGTGAGGAAGTGTTCTCGAAGAGTCCATCCTAACTGCAAACGCTCCAGAATGCACCTACCAAGCACTGGGCCAGGCCTGCTGGTAGCTGGTTGAGCCTTGCTGTATCAGGATGGAGATCCCTGCCTGCTCCTGAGGGAATGCCGCTCTGCAGTGGGTGGCTGCAGAGGACTCCGAGGCTGCAGGACAGGCTGCTGTGTTGTCCAAGTCCCCTCGCCTGCCCCTCGCAAGCCCGAGTGAGCATGGTGTCTGAGGCAGGCTATGGACTGGGCCTTACTCATGGCTTAGGTGGTTCAGGCCTCATGCCATCCCTGCCTGCTCATTGGTCATGACCCTGGAATGTTCTTCCATTTCCAGGAGTCCCCTGACGGGGGCTGGCCCGGAGTTGTTGAGTTACCTTGGTGGGGCTTCCTGTTGAGGAAGCAGGCAGCCTGGCCAAGCCCTGTGCATCAGCCGTCAGAGGGCACAGTGCCCCCTGCTTGCTGGTGTCAGCATCTTGGCTCAGCCCAACCTACCATGCTCGTAGGACCGCCCACTGACTGGGCTCTGGAAATGAGCGCCGGGCTAGCACCGGTTGCTGAGAGGCTGCAGGTCCAGGGTCCATGAGCCGTCACCTCAGCCGCCTGCACAGTGCGAGTGCTTCAGGGAAGCCTGTGCTGGTCGGTCTCATGGAGGACACCACAATGTCACCATGTTATCCCTGGCTATGGCGTCTTTATGTCAGCATGCCGTGCTCGTCACCATGTTATCCCTGGCTATGGCATCTTTATGTCAGCATGCCGTGCTGCCTTAGACCACTGGGACGCCCCCTCAGTGCATGTATGTGAAATGGTGTTTCTCCAGGTTCTTACTGCTGTGCCCTCAGATCCATTCCTTCTGAGCCCTTGGGCAGCTGAACTGGCTCACGTTTCATCCCTGTGTTGTGAAGGGGTCCTTGGGGAGACCCGTGAGAGCCAGAACGGTGGGCTTGCAGGTTTGTCATTTGCACCTGCCTTGCTGACTGGGGCAGGCCTGGAGCTGCCACTTGCCCTGGGAGCTTGTGTGACAATGCTGAGGACTGGTAGTCTGGAGGGATTCCTGGGGTCTGTCACCCTGAGCTGTGTGGCCTTCCCACCATTTCCCTGTGCGTCTTGGGTACCACCTGCACATCTGTGTGCATCATGCCATCTCTTGGCTCCTGTGTCTCCCCCGGCTGCGTTACGGCTGCTCATGGGGTCCCAAGAAAAGAGGTGTTGGGGCCCCTCAGCCCAGGCCATCTCCTGAGGCTTCACTGGTGGGCAGCATTCTCCCGGGTCCCTGTGAGTGGTTGCAGGGCCCCTATCCCCGCTCCTGCCCCGCCCTTTTGTTG